GTGCATGACCAGGATAGGGGATTGTTTGGGTTGTTTGGGACATGTTAAGAGAATTTTCAACCTTCTGGTAACCATTCATGTTATTGGCAAAGTATTTTTTTTAAAAATAAAAAAATAGTAAATTATATTTTTCACAGAATAATTTCTAAACATGTTAATTGTAGTTTAAGGACAAATTGTTGAATTTTTAATTTCTTTAAAATTCTACTACAATTTTTAAATGCAGCAAAAATGTGGTGCTCCTAGTATAATGTGATATTAATAAACAGAAAATAGGTACAGAGGGATTTGGGATCAAAATAAAATATGTCCCTCCTATATAAAAATTTGTATGTAGTTATGATACCCCTAAAAATGCTTCACTAAGTCTGTTCTAAGAAAAGATTCTTCTTTCAGAGAGAACGTATACTCTAATTTTAAAGGGATGCTACCATGAAATTTTGTTATTATCCTATTTCACTTTAAGCACAGCTCAAATTACTGTGAAATAGTTTTTAGAGCAATGCAGCTTATTGGATTTTATACAATTGTAACATCTGAATGTCATTTTCTTTACCAAAGACCTGCATTGAGCGCACAGCATGCACACATTCTCTGTTCTACGGGACAGTCTGAAGTTGCAGGGCACAGAGGGAGGACAATGTGCCCTGTATTATTGAGGTGTGCCCTGGATCACAGTAGAACAATAGGGTATATTTACTAAACTTGCACAAAAACAGAATAGCAAAATTTTAACTACAAATAGCCTAGATGCAGCTAGTATTACATAAATTCTGCTATTTGGGTTACAATTCATTAGAAGTTTGGTGTCTATAAAATGATTATTATGTGTGTCTAAAGTGATCTGGTGAATTCAAGCACATACTTCTTTGGCCCCTGATGCAGTGGTGTATCCTGGTTTCAGTGCTGCCCTAGGCAGGAGAAAACCCAGACACCCCCCCCCACGCTACTCCACCCAACCCTTCCCCCCCGCCCCGCCTTCTAAATACACACACACACATTCACTGACAGATACGCATACACTGACAACAGAAACACCCTCACACTCACTAACAGACACACACAGAAACACACTAACAGACACACACACACTCACTAGCAGACACACACACACTCACAGGTAAACACACTCACACTAACAGACATACACACACACACAGTCAGACACACACACTAACAGACACACACACACACACACACACACACTAACAGACACACACTCACAGACACACTAACAGACACACACACACACTAACAGACACAGACACACTAACAGACACACACACTAACAGACACACACTAACAGACATTCACACACACTCACTCACATTAACAAAAACATTTTTTCATTTAACCACTCTAGCCTCCTTACCTTTGGGAATGCTGGGGGCTATTCTCTTTCTCCCTGGGGGTCCAGTGGCTGCTGGGCAGTCAGGGGGCGCTGGCGGTTGGCTGACGAGGGAGCACTTCCCCTGAGCACTCTGCTCAGCTCCCTTGCGCGCCGCCCGCAGAGTGAGGCTGGGAGCTGGAATATGACGTCATATTCCGGCTCCCAGCCTCACTCTGCGGCGCGTGAGGGAGCTGAGCAGACAGCTCAGAGGAAGTGCTCCCTCGTCAGCCGCCTGCCAGCGCCCCCCGATCGCCCAGCAGCCAGCCCATCAGCCCGACCGGCATGTCAGTTAGCCCCCTGGAAAATGCCGCCGAAGGCAAATGCCTTGTTTGCCTCGCTGCTAAAACGTCCCTGCCCTGATGGCTGGTTAATACCTTATGTCTAGCCAGTAAAAAAGCATTCATGTTGAACCTTTAATCAGAACATGCATTATTGATGGTCATTTTAAAATTACATTGACTAATTAACAATACATAAAATGTTGAAGACTAGCATGGTATTCACTAAAGTCAGAATTTAAATTTTAAAGGTATACTATAGGCATGAAAACAACTTTGGCTTAATAAAGCAGTTTTGGTGTATAGATCATGCCCCTGTGGTCTCACTGCTCAATTCTCTACCATTTCGGAGTTAAATCACTTTTGTTTCTATTTATGTAGCCATACCAACACCTCCCATGGCTATGACTCACATAGCCTGCATGAACAAAATAGCTTCATTTTCAATCAGATGTTAACTTGCTTTAGAAGTTTTTATATCTTACTCTGTAAACTAAACTTTAATCACATACATGTGGTTCCTGCAGGGTCTAGAAGGCTATTAACACAGCATTAGATTGAATATTCTAGATTAAACATACTGTGCAATACAGGAACCTATAATGTCTAGGTTATTTTACAGGAAGTGTTTAGGAAGGCTGTGCAACTTGCATGCAGGGAGGTGTGACTAGGGCTGTATAAATAAAATGGCAAAGCATTGAGCAGTGAGACTGCAGGGCATGATCTATACAACAAAACTGCTTTGTTAAGTTGTTTTGGTGTCTATAGTGTCCCTGTAAGGTAAAAAAGATTATATAGATAACCCAGTCCCCCTAATGCTCTTGATGGTAAGAAAATGGCTCATGTTCAGCTTGGTTTCCAAACGATCAGGGTTTTGAACAGAGACAGGTAGACTTTTAGCAACAATGTGTAGTGTCAGTCAGCCTTTACTAAAGCCAGTGAGGCTTATCTGACTTATAAGGTACTGACTGATTTGTTGAGAATTCAATAAGCGGAGCATGTCTGCGCACAATTTCTCAAAAACAGGGCATAATAACAATCATCTGTACCTTAGCAGGTCTAAAAATTAGGTCAATACAACCTCAGATGAACAACACATGACCAATTACACTGCCATGATTTATTTAAAGGGACACTGTAGGCATCCAGACCCTCTCAGCTCATTGAAGTGGTCTGGGTGCACTGTCCCTTTTGCACTTAGTGCATAGAAACTGAAATGTTTACATTGCAGCTCTACTTCTGCCCTCAGTGGCTGTCTACCAGACAGCCACTAGAGGGCTTCCTGAATTGAAATGGACATTTGGTCTGGTATCTGATGCTTGACATCCACACACTCTACATTTGAACCTCCAGCGTCAGATTCTGCCTCATAGGAAAGCATTGATTAGACCTGCTCAGTGCGGGACAGAGGAGGGGCGGAGTCTCAGCCCAGCACCAAGGGACATCAGCGCTGGGAAAAAGTACATAAATAAAGGGTTTTAACCCTTTATTTACCATACGAGGCAGGGGGAGCAGTAGTACCAGGAATACACCTTTGTATTCCTGGCACTATAGTATCCCTTTAACAAAAATAAAGCCAAAATGGAGAAGCCAAAGTCAAGCCGTGCAATGCTCAGAGAAGGTGCAAAAAAAAATAAAAAATAATCTCTTACATCTCAGACTCTACAGGCTTCAGTTAGCATGTTAATTATTAAAGTTATATATGCTTAGATAAGAAAATAATCCCTCAATGAGGCAAATAACTCAAATGAGAGCTGGTCAGTGTGGATAGTACCAGTTCTACCCTGGGCTTGTACCCTAAAAACATATAAACAAATATCACCTGAGATCCCTAGATAGGGGGGCAGGGCCGTTTTACCGCAAAGGCACCCTGGGCAGTTACCCAGGGGCCCCACTTGCTGTGGGATCCAGCCAAGCATTAGTGTCACTAGTCACTATGGGGGATGACTCCCGTGTGTGCCGCCGGCCCCCCTGCCGAACATGAAAGCGTCCGTTGGCCCTGCACTGCTGTCAGGCCAATTGGGCGGTGGGAGAGAAGCCAACAACAGCAGGAATGCCTGCCCGCCTTTAAGGCCTGCTGTGAAAAAAAAAGCACACACCAGGACAGCTGAATCTGACTTCCTCCTGCCCCCCCTGCCACCAAACCTAGAAGCGCCTGTCAGCACAGCGCTGCTGTCAGGCCTATGGGGCCATGTAGGGGGAGCATCCACGCACTGTGCCAGGACAGCCACTGTTGCAGAAACTTATGATGTGGAAGCCAATTATTGCATAGCAGAAAGTAACACGTCGCAGAGACAGCCCAATACACTTTCATTTGAAGGGTAAGTACTTATTTTATTATGTGCAGATATTAACACTGTCTGTCCTATGGTTAGTAAGTCAAACGACCTTGTCATATCACTTTTATTTTGTATGCAGTTGCTGGCCAAAGTAATAAGGATAATCATTGCATCTTTTCATTCATTAATTTATTGATAATTGCCTAGAATCACTTAGAGCCGAAAGTGTAGGAACAGAATATAATTGGTTTACTAATACAGTAAAAAACTTTGCAACTACTTAATTTAACATTAAGCTTCAAAAGCATTTAATTATGTTAAAATATAAAATAGTGCCCTTTGTAATCATGAGAGAGTTATTTTTCTCACCAGAGTGTATATTGTCAAAACGTTGTCTTAAAGGGACACTATAGTCACCAGGTTCTGGTGAGTATAGCCTGTCCCTGCAGACTTTTTAATGTACAGTATATACTCGAGTATAAGTCTAGTTTTTCAGCACATTTTTTGTGCTTAAAAACCCCCACTCGACTTATACTCGAGTCACTGTCTGTATTATGGCAACTTAGAGAGCCGTGGCCGTCAGAGCCATGGCAACGATCCGCGCGGCAACCAGACCGCGAGACTTACAGTGGAGCTGACCGGAACGGAGGAGAAGGGAGCTGACAGGAGCTGCAGGAAAGGTAAGTAAATGCCTCCTGCCGGCCCCCCCACTTCACAGCCCATGCCACTGGACCACCAGGGATTAAGATAGCCCCCCTCCCTGACCAGTTAACAAGCAGGGAGGGGGGACAAAAAAAATTAAAATAATAAAAAATAATATTAAAATTAAAAAAAATTAAAATAAAAATGCCCTCCCCCCACCCAGTTCACACACACTACACAAACACACACTCTTCATTATATACACACTCTGCATTATATACACAGAGTGTGTGTATATAATGCAGTGTGTTTCTATGAGTGTGTGTGTGTGTGTATATAATGCAGAATGTGTGTTTGTATGAGTGTGTGTGTGTATATATAATGCAGAATGTGTGTTTGTATGAGTGTGTGTGTATATATAATGCAGAGTGTGTGTTTGTATGAGTGTGTGTGTATATATAATGCAGAGTGTGTGTTTGTATGAGTGTGTGTGTATATATAATGCAGAGTGTGTGTTTGTATGAGTGTGTGTGTATATAATGCAGAGTGTGTGTTTGTATGAGTGTGTGTGTACATAATGCAGAGTGTGTGTTTGTATGAGTGTGTGTGTGTATATAATGCAGAGTGTGTGTTTGTATGAGTGTGTGTGTGTATATAATGCAGAGTGTGTGTTTGTATGAGTGTGTGTGTATATAATGCAGATTGTTTGTATGAGTGTGTGTGTGTATATAATGCAGATTGTTTGTATGAGTGTGTGTATATATAATGCAGAGTGTTTGTTTGTATGAATGTGTGTGTATATAATTATAAAAATCACAGAATTTCATAGCCCCAAGTTTTACCCTCGACTTATCCACGAGGCATAACATATTTCACAATTGTTGGTCACAAAACTGCACTCGACTTATACATGAGATCGACTTATACACGAGTATATACGGTAAATACCTCCTTTTTTAGAGAAAAGGCAATGTTTACATTTTTGCCTAGGAACACCTGTAGTGTTCACTCCTCAGACAGCCACTAGAGATGCTTCTTGGGTCGGTGCTGCTAACTGTGCAGCACTGGAGTTTAGAGTCTCCACACTCTGCATGGAGATGCTGAACTAAATAAATTGATTCAATACATCTCTATGATGAGATGCTGATTTTTTCATGCATATGCACTAGCCTCCTAATTCTTCCCTATGGGAAAGTATTAGATTGGCTGAAATCATCAAATCTGATTATTATGTCAGTTATAGTGGCATGTCGTGGGCAGGGCCAAATGCGAGGAGGCCCTTGCGGCACAGGAAAAAGGTGAGTAAAACACCCTTTTCAGCAGAGGTAAGTGAGAATAGCGAGCTAAACTGTCGTTTTACCCCAATAGTGTCAGAAACCCACTTTTGCATTCTTAAAGTGTCCCTATAATGTTTAAACACTGATTTTGTTGGAGGTACCAATAAATATATGCTTATACTTATCAATAACTTGCATTTTTATGCCTGTGAGTGATAGCATAGGCAGGACCCCAGTGCACTGCTTTGCCCGGGGGTCTATAATGCTGTTAAGATGGCACTGAAGGGGGGAGGTTCTCAACTCCTCATTTTTAGAAAGTGAACTACTTAGATGGAGTTTATATATTAAGTCAAGAAGGAAAAGACAGTTACAGATTAGCAGTATAAAGTAACTATTTATTATAGACTCATCCAGGCTTTATTGTAAGGTTACACATTCATTAACTGCTAATAAAATTGAGGGATAATGTATAGATCAAAATGTTATCATCCTCCCTGTCCATGATTGTAGCCAAAGGATAAAATAGACACCTACCAATTAGAAATTCGATGCTAAAAAGAGCATAGATATAACTATATAATTGGGTGTGCTTTAAATTGTATCAACACTCAGGAACAGAGAAAAAAGTGAATATCCACTAACTCACTATCAAGCAGACTGGGTGGAGGTGTCGGTCAGAGTATAGGAACACCGTTAAAATTGGTGGTAGCAGTGGGATGGCTTCCTACTGATTGGGGAAAGCCCCTGGATTCGGGTGCATCTTCTGGGATCCCTACATACCTCCAGGAATTCGCAGAGATGGAGCGAGCTAGACCCGGGGCAGCGTCCCCATATGCGGAGGAGTTCCAGCAGAAGCTGCAAAAAGCTCTGGCCCAGGATTAAGACCCTGCCTCGGAGGAGAGTGATCTAGACTGGAGGGATGCAATCCGGAAAGAACTCTGGTAAGAGGCTCTTGAGGAAGCCCAGGTTTGGTGGATATAGAGCATCCCTGGCAGTGCTGGCAGGAACCAGTGGCTCAGCAATTGCCGCTCCTGGGAGAGCAGCCTCTGTAGGAGTAAGTGATGCAACTCGAGGTCCTGGTCAGGAAGGAACTGTGGCTGGACCAGGCGTACCGGGCATTATGTTGGGTCCAGTGATACCCTTGGATGGCTGGGGATGGCCCTGGCCTGTTGTATGTTATATGCGTAAGCATAGGGGAGAGACCCTGAAGCTCCCTGGTGCAATTGGGCTGGGACCAGACCTTGGAATGGGAGCTGCAACAGGAATACAAACAATTCTTCCCTTCTGTTCATCAGTGAGCCCTCAAACTGAGGATTTTATGGACTTTATAACCACGGGAGAGGAGAGCTTGTCTTTCCCATGACTGTATATATTGTTTGTATCAATCTTGACTGTACTTAATTGGCTTAATTAACCCAACCAGCAACGGCACCTGCAGCACAGAGGTATGACAGGTGTTACTGTTTCTGCATTAACCAACCAAATCTAAAAGCTTAATAAAACCATTTCAGTGCTAAATATGTTTTTAAAAATGCGCCAATAAACAAATACTAGTTTCAAAATTCACAAGTCATGGAGAAAACAACACATTATTTTATGTATGAGGAGATTTGTAAAGACATAAAAAGAGAGAGAGTGCAGAGTTTTGCCAATTTAATGCCACATTTACAAAGCATTATCTACACTAGATAACCATGTTACAGGAATCATTGCCATGCAGGTGTTGGAGGTAATAAGCAGAAGAGCTATTGCACTCATTACTGAATATTCCTCATATATTCCTAAATTCCATGCAGAATCAGCAAATGTCCCCAGCTCAGAGCTCTTACACAATGTCATTTCTTAACTAGAATTAACCCCTCGGCTCCAGCAGCTACACATAAAATGCAATAGGACTGCCTGCAGTCACAAATGTGTTTGGTATTGTACACAAAATCTAGCAAAAAAAGAATATGCACTGTATAATATAATTTATATAGACATAATCTCTTACTTATATTTCCCTTGTTTACCAAGCACTCATGGTAAACCGATTGCTTTTTTTTTTTTGGCAATCTTTGTTTTTTTATTCAGTGGTATAAATAATTACACAATTATGGAAAAGTAGAGTTACACAGGTGGAAACATGATATAACATATATAAAAAATATATTTAATATAGAGAAGATAGTCGTTTTGCTTAGTGCCTAGCAGTATTAAGAATTACTAGGCATTAGGCATGTGCATGGGGAAAATTTTCGGTTCGGCATTCCGAAATTCGGCACTTCGACACTTCGGAACTTCGACAACTTTGGAACTTCGGCTCTTCGGAACATCAGCAGTTCGGAATTTCGGGACTTCATCACTTCGGGACTTCTCTTGCAGCCGCTTACTAGATAACTCCCTAATTCCCACGGTGTTAGGGAGTTATCTGCCAAAAGGCTGAAAGACCTAAATTGGGCCCTAAATCAGAATAAGGGGGGACCTAATGTCCTCCCCCTGGACCCACCCCTGAGCAGTGGGTGGGGGCCCTAAATTATAATAGGGGGGGACCTAATGTCCACCCCCTGGCCCCCACCCCTGAGTGGTGGGTGGGGGCCCTAAATACCAATTAGGGGGGACCTAATATCCTCCCCCCGACCCCCACCCCTGAGCGGTGGGTGGGGGCCCTAAATTAGAATAAGGGGGGAATTAATGTCCTCCCCCTGGCCCCCACCCCTGAGTGGTGGGTGGGGGCCCTAAATTAAAATAATGGGGGGACCGAATGTCCTGCACCCTGGCCCCCACCCCTGAGCAGTGGGTGGGGGCTCTAAATACTCATAAGGGGGACCTAATGTCCTCCCCCCTGGCCCCCACCTCTGAACGGTGGGTGGGGGCCATAAATTAGAATAGGGGGGACCTAATGTCCTCTCCCCTGGCCCCCACCCCTGAGTGGTGGGTGGGGGCCCTAAATACTAATAAGGGGGGACCTAATGTCCACCCCCTGGCCCCCACCCCTAAACGGTGGGTGGGGGCCCTAAATTAAAATAAGGGGGGGTCTAATGTCCTCCCCCTGGCCCCCACCCCTGAGCAGTGGGTGGGGGCCCTGAATTAGAATAAGGGGGCACCTAATGTCCTCCACCCTGGCCCCAACCCCTGGGCGGTGGGTGGGGGCTCTAAATACTTATACGGGGGGGACCCCACCCCTGAGCGGTGAGTGGGGGCCCTGGGGGCCCTGAATTAGAATAAGGGGGGGACCTAATGTCCTCCCCCCTGGCCCCCAACCCTGATCGGTGGGTGGGGGCCCTAAATACTAATAAGGGGGGTACCTAATGTCCTCCCCCCTAATGTCCTCCCCCCTGTGGGGGCCATAAATTAGAACGGTGGGTGGGGGCCATAAATTAGAATAGGGGGGGGACCTAATGTCCTCTCCCCTGGCCCCCACCTCTGAGTGGTTGGTGGGGGGCCTAAATACTAATAAGGGTGTGACCTAATGTCCACCCCCTGGCCCCCACCCCTGAGCGGTGGGGGCAGGCCCTAAATACTAATAAGGGGGGGACCTAATGTCCTCCTTCCTGGTCCCCACCCCTGAGTGGCATGTGCGGCCCCTTAATACAACATTAACACCCCCTCCCCCAGGTGACTAGGGGTCCCCAAACCCCTAATCACCTTCCTCCCCAAAAAAACTAACCCCTACCTACCCCCCTCACCCTAAAAATAATGAGGGGGGCCCATTAACTAAGTACCTGTAAAAAAAAGAAAAAGAAAACTTACCATTTGATGTTTTCTTTCTTCTAAAATCTTCTCTTTTCAGCCCCCAAAAAAGCCAAATAAAAAATCCATAATAACCAACGCACTTAAAAAAAAAAAGAAACGAGCACAAAAAAAAAAATCCTTCTTCACCCATGGAGGGCTCCGCGCAGACTGAGCTCGGCAGGGCGGGGGAAGGCTTATAAAGCCTTGCCCCGCACTGCAATTAGGCTCAGAGCACTCTGATTGGTGGGTTTAAGCCATCCAATCAGAGTGCTCTGACAGGTAAATGAAGAGACTGACAGGTAAGTCTCTACATTTACCTGTCACCGCACTCTGATTGGTTGGCTTGAAATCCACCTATCAGAGTGCTCTGTGTCATTTTACACATCTGACAGGTAAGTCTCTACATTTACCTGTCACAGCACTCTGATTGGTGGATTGAAAAAAACAAGCAGACAGTTATGAGTCAAATTACACAGCGTGGGAAAATTCCAAAGAACTTTCCCACACTGTGTAAAATGACACAGAGCACTCTGGTGGATTTCAAGCCAACCAACCAGAGTGCTGTGACAGGTAAATGTAGAGACTTACCTGTCAGTCTCTTCATTTACCTGTCAGAGCACTCTGATTGGATGGCTTAAACCCACCAATCAGAGTGCTCTGAGCCTAATTGCAGGGCGGGGCAAGGCTTTATAAGCCTT